TTGGAGATGGTACCTCAAACAGCTACCAGTGCTAGAGTTTAATGTGGCTCAAAGACATTGTGTGTCCTTACTGGTGATAGAGACTTGCTAAATACCGGTACAGTTGCTGTGTCCTATATAGTGAAGTACTCTTACTACTTGATCCAGTGGAGCAGAATTCCCAGAGTCAAAGACAGTCGAATCATCCGGAGCTGAGGGAGGCATCATAGACAGAAAGAAGAGAAGATAAGTCTGATGCTTCGCATGATGTTGGGTTCCTCACAGCTCCTTGTGTCCAGTGATGACAATATGTCATCTCCAAGACCTTCTGTCTGTGTAGTATCTTTGTGATTTGGACAGGATATCCTGAGATCTAGCCTAAGAGATCTGGCAATTGTCTCACTTTTATAGATCTAATTTATATTGATTACATGCATTCATTTTCATGGCTGACTTAGGTGTTTCTATTTCACCTTTTTAAGTGTTTAGCAGTTGTGTATGTATGTATCTTCATTATATGTGTTAACATGGTTATGATAATGAACTATCATAACCTGGGGGCTTTCTTTAGTAAGTAGTGGGGGTGTCCAGCCAAGTGTGCCTAGAAATATTATATATATACTGACATATTTTGTAGTGCCAATACTTGAGTTGCCCTACTCCAGAGATAAGTTGATCGTATATTGGCCACGGGGAATCCCTTAGACCAATACGAGCCAAACGACTCAACATAATTATCTCTGAGTGCTGTTGGTTCTGAAGGAGGAATCCCTACATTAGGCACGCGACAGGAGTGATATGTGACAGGGGAGTTGACTGGTCAGCCCTCACATAAAGAAAGTGGCAGATCATGAGCAGATCATTAGCCCCCCCCCCCCACCCCCCCCCCCCCACACACCCCCCCCCCCCACCCAATCTAAGGGAAGGCTTTCATAAATACAGAGCTGATACATGACACTCTGGTCCTGGACTTACACAAGAAATTGTCACACCCTGCGCATGGCTTAACCTCACTCCTTTTTATCTTGGCCTCCTTCTTTTCCACCTGCTATTCTTTCTTTCTCTGTTGGCTCCTTTTTATTCTTCTCCTTATATTCTTCATCTTCTTCCTTATTTCATTCTCTTCTTTGACCTCCTCCTCCCGCTACCCCTTGTTCTTCTCTGTCTCCTTCTTACTCTTCATCTACAGGATAGAAGTGAGACCAGAAGGTTTTGCGTCAGATGTCTAAAGGACAAATAATCGTAATTAATGTCTCTGCTTCTGCAGTGCACAGGCAGCCACAGTGGTGTAACGTCCAGGCTTGAATTTGTTCCTGTGATCTCTTTGTAAGGAGAGTGGCCTCATCCCTTCACTTTTGCCTTGTTGTCCAATTCAGTTTTCAGGTGCGGGTCAAGACCCCTACCATCCAATGGATTTCAGGCAGAACAGAGTCCTCCATGTGAAGGTAAGTTAGGCGTGAGCAAGAGAAGCTAAAAGACATTAGAAGTCTTGTATTGTGCACATCACTGCTCGATAAGGACCCCAAGCATGACATCAAAGATGACTAATTAAGGACCTGTTGAAACCAGAGGTGAATGACCAAATGATGCAGATACTGAATAACACAATGTGCCAACAGTCACTTTAAGGAAGAAATGAAGAAAAAGAGGAACTCCACTTTCACCTCTTACCTGGCCATCCACTGATTAGTATTCACATTAAAAGACTGGATAAAATCTGAGAAAGACTCTCCGGTCTCCAGTTGCCAGACTTTTATGTTTGTGCATCCATCCCATTTTGCTTGGCCTTTCTCATCAACCCCATTGTAGCTCATGCCGGTGAGAATGAGGCTGCCTTCCTGGTGAAGGAAAATACCAGAAATGGTCATAAAAAGGCAAAGGAAAACAATATCCTTCAACACACACAGACACATACAAAGTCTCCCGCACCTGATGACCTTTTTTTTTTTAATTTTCACCCATTTTTAGCAACTATGCTCATTACTGGTTGATGATAAAAAGTTGACCAGGAAAAAAAAACGGAGGCAATGTTGGTGGCTAGGCTTCCCATAAACAAGCTTCTATAGCAAGCTAGGAAGGGGACATTTACAGGGTTGGAGCACAAACCGGAAGTGCCGGGTTTTGTGCTTCTTAGGGCAGGAGGGTTCAACGAAAAAGATATATAACATAGTTCTTGTTAATTAACTAAAACCTGCGGACCATTCTTAGTTTTTCTGCCACAGACCATATATTTTTCAAGTCACACTGATGTGTTAGCCACAGTGAAGAAAAAAGTAAAAAGCATAGAATTGTAAAAAACCAATCTAAAGCTAAGGTGTGTGCCTCTGTGTGTGTGGTGTGTGTGTGTGTGTGTGTGAGAGAGAGAGAGAGAGAGAGAGAGAGAGAGAGAGAGAGAGAGAGAGAGAGAGAGAAATATTAAATAGTCACAGTGAAGAACTAATTATAATTTATTATTTTTAGAATTGTAAAAAGCAATCTAAAGCTAAGGTGTGTGCCTCTGTCTGTCTGTCTGCAAGAGAGAGAGAGGGGGGGGGAGAGAGAGGGGGGGAGAGAGAGGGGGGGAGAGAGAGAGAGAGAGAGAGAGAGAGATAACAAGGATCCTCTAAAAATATGATCCCTAATTAAAAAATACTGGGAGAGAAAATTCTTTATCCTGTGAAATGCATTTGTTTGGAATATTGTACCTCTGACTTCTGTAATTTGAACAGTCCTGAAAGTCTATGGTTAAGCACCAGCAAGGAGATAAAAACTAGAATTTTGAGAGCATGCATCTTCCCTGTGGCTACATATGGATGTGAGTCGTGGACTATCTCTCAGTTCTTAAGAAAGAGAATAGGGGCTTTTGAGCTGAAATGCTATAGATTCTCAGAATATCTTGGACAAAGAAGAAGAGAAATATTGACATCTTAAAAGATCTGAACATCGAGGAAGATTGGCTAATAAACAGCATCCTTTCTCAAATGCTGAAATATTTTGGTGTTTATCAAGCGCCACAGCGGACTGGAAAAAATTATAGCACAAGGCATGGTACCAGGAAGGAGGGGCAGGGGCCGACCGACACGAAGATGGGCACAGGATATAAGTAACTCCTTGAGTGTGAAAGTGCATGAGGCAGGAGAACTGGCGAGAGACCGAGTTTCTTTCAGGCAGACTGTGATGACAGTGACGTTTTGCAAAGGACCTGCTACATGATGATGATGATGACTTCTGTTAAACACTTTCCAGCTGCTTCTGTCAGGGCGACCAATTGTTTGATAGTAGTGACCTGTTTCAGGCAAGTATCACTTAATTTAGTTCTGCATTCTGGGGGATCAGAAATGCCGGGGTAAAGAGGAAATGAAAAAGCCAACAGACTGGCCATTGGGGCAGGTGGTCTGGATGTATGGTGTCTGCCTCAAGTGCTGGAGGTCCCGGGTTCAAGCCCCAGTGAAGGCTGGGATTTTTTTTCCACGTTGACTTCTAGTAATTTCCCTTGGTCTCTGGTAGTAAGATCGGACGCCTGTGTGTATTGTTGCGCATGTAAAAGAAAATCTCTTGTCAGTTGGAAAAAGAAAAATTTAGCTTAACGACACTGCCTGGGCAAAATTTGAAGTTAAAAATCTATCCAAGTATTTCAGGATCATCGCCGGTGCAACAGAGTTCGCTCTTCGGACTCAGGCTTCACTTCGAAGTAGAAAAGAGCACTTATGGGTTACACCCGTGTGCCATGATGTTGATCCATTGTTTGAACATAAACAGACTGGCCATACAGGCCATGTCTACAGTGGCTGGTGGAGGAAGAAGTATGGACAGGGCAGATGTACTAAATGTACTGTGTTCTAGAGACTCTGAGACAATGGAGTCCGAGACATTAAACCGCCTGTTGGAAATGGGTATTAAATGAGGTTACACATGCAGAGGCCGGTAGCTGGGCTAAGAAAGCAGATATGCCAATCAACTCGGACTGGGTATATTAAGCATGGCTGCTAAACTGAAGGATGGAGCACGAATGGGTTGGCACAATTTGCTAAGATGTCGATCAGGAAACAAGCAAGCAATTCAGGGGGGCATTTTTCTGTGTAACTAACGTGAATTGTTAAAGTCCTTAATTTGGGCTTTCCCATTTAATTTACACACACCATTTTTGTAACATTCTTGTAACTGCATTTCACAAAATGACAGCCGTATACAATATTCATCGTCATCATGTTCCATGCCGTGATGGCAGCCTATCTTCTCTATGAACTGGTAGGTTCCATTGCCATTGCACAATTTTATTTCCAATTACTGTTAACACCACCCCCCGCAGGACAGATGATCCAACTGATTGAAGCATGACTATTTTATAGACCAATCGGCACTCAGTGGATGACGTGGTCAGCATCATGCCAGCTGCCTTTACTTCCCAGGACTTTACCTTGCACTGATTTAAGGCTGGGTTGACGTGGGAGCCAAGCTCATTTTTTAAAAAACGCGTGGCTCTGTTAATCTATTATCAGTACCAACAATAATAATTTTTATCTGAAAAGTAAAGCATGGGGGTACATATATCTTTTATGTCTTTGATTACTGAAATTATATACATAGCACTACAAAGTTATTACAACAGTTTGCCTTTGTTATCACTTAACATTTAATTAAGAATCGCATCACAGCACTTGCAACATTACCGCTACATCCCTATGTTCAGCAGCAAGCGCACAACTCCAATTCCGATAGCACCAGTAACAGTACGTATACCCATCTCACCTTTCCCCTAAGTGCTGAGCATCGGCTAGAATCCCTGGTCACTCCTCGCAGCACTTTTCTCTTCAGACCTCGATAATCCATGTTATCGAAGGCAGAGGTTGTATGATACTAAAGAAAAATGCATTCTGACAAGACAGTAAGCCCATGTGTTACCAGGGTCCTAAAGGAAAGCTAGGTATAGAAACAGTGCACATTACCAATGTCGGCGTCTGTGGCTTAGGCACTGTGAACATGCTTCGTAAAGCCGGGTTCTATCCCATTTACAGGCAGTTTGGCAACAGATCACCTTACATTAGTTTCAACAGCAGTATCCAGAGCTGAGCATTCAGAAAGCAATGGCAAATTAATGAACTACAAAGCATGCTTACGAGGCGACAAATGGTAGACTGGTGAGAGCTGGTTGATCGCCTATGCTTCATTGGCAGATAAACAGCAGGGAAAAAAAGAATATGGGTGAAACAGAAGGGCCAGGAATTCTCTTTTATTCTTCTTAGCGTTCACTGGCTGTAAACTCCGAACAAACAAATGAACAAACTGTGGAATCAATTTCAGGCTTTGTCGTTCAGTTAAAAACTACATTTGTTGGGGGAGGGGAGGAGAGATCCCTGGGGATTCTCACTGCAGCTAAAGGTTGTTCTTTGCTCCATGCTTTTGACAAGCGGCCGCCCGCTGTGAAGAAAGAAACCAAGCCATTGGGAACAAGACCCACTGAAATAAAAATTAATAAACTAATGATCAAGCAAATAATTTTAAAAATTATATTCCTGCAACGAGCATCTGACAAGTGACCGGCCACTCTGAAGACAGAGATCAAGCTATTTGGAATAAGTAAAGATCCCTTTTCACACCTTTAGGTGCATTGGGCATATGGGAAGAGCACCCATATTCTTTACAGACCAATCGGCACTATGTGGGTAATGTGGTCAGCATTACGCCGACCATCTTTACTTCCCCAGGACATACATACTGGTGCCCATTTTAGGCTGAGTCGACCTGCGGCGCCCCATATTATGATAAGAATCCATGCAGCCAGAAGTGGGTTTCGATCGCAGTACGTTGGAATTACGAGTCGGACTCGCAATGCCTAAGCCACAGACGCCGCATTTTGAATAAGACTCAGGGTAATAAAGTTGATAAACCATTAACAAAATATCAACATAAAATAACTTCTAACAAATCATATATGTAATCAATATGCACAAGACAAAACAATCTGATACTGTGAGGCCAAATGGAAGTGAATGGATCTTACCTGTATCAACCACACACCTACATATTTGTGTAAAGCATTCTTTCCCCAAATTGTTATTAAGGCACATTTTGTAAGAAATCCCAGATCCTGAGGATATTCAACAAAAAACAAATTGTTAGTTTAAAAGAGACACCGCTGAGCTGAGTTTAGAACTGACACTGAAGCACTTGGGACATTCCCATAAGTGCTCCGTCTCCATCTTCAGCAACCAGTGCAGTTCCAAGTCTGATTGTATCGTATCCATTCTGTCATTCCGTGCGAACATATTTTACCACCCATGCTTTTGTTTTTGACTTGATATTCACAGTATACATATTATTACATGAACATAACATGCTTTATTAATGAAATACAACTGCTGTGTGAAAGATGAGAGTTTGGAAGGGCCGAATGTAAGACAGGCCTGCGTGCCTAATTTGTAACCCTTTGAAAATAAAGTTCGTCATCAGACAGTGAGGACATATGTTGGCTTCCACACTGTTGACTCTCCTCCAAAGGGGCCATGACTGAATCTAGCTGTTATGGATCAATTTACCAAAAACTGGTGCCGACAGGAAGTCTGTTCATTTTCTAGAGCCACTTGGTCTATAAATACCTTGTGTCCATAAAGTCGCAGGGCATTTTTGACTAGTCACAGGAAATCAACGAAACAAAATAGAAATGTGAAATCTGTACCAAATAAAAGGAAAATTCTTCAAGTTTCATACCTATTCAGTGCGCACAAGCTTTGACGGTCACAGAAAATCAAGAAAACAAGATAAAAATGTGAAATCTGCACCAAATAACAAGAAAATCCCCCAAGTTTCATACCTATTCAGTGCGCACATGCTTGCATATACGCTACGAAACTTGGAGAATTTTCCTTTCACTTGATGTAGATTTCACATTTCCATCTTCTCCTGTTGCTTTCCTGTGACCGCTCAAAAGTGCACAATGACTTTATGGACACAGTGTATATGAATACAGCACTATATGTCCCATGGAGCAAAAGTGTACAATGACTTTATGGACACAGTGTATATGAATACAGCACTATATGTCCCATGGAGCAAAAGTGTACAATGACTTTATGGACACAGTGTATATGAATACAGCACTATATGTCCCATGGAGCAAAAGTGTACAGTGACTTTATGGACACAGTGTATCTGAATACAGCACTATATTTCCCATGGAGCAAAAGTGCACAATGACTTTATGGACACAGTGTATATGAATACAGCACTATATGTCCCATGGAGCAAAAGTGCACAATGACTTTATGGACACAGTGTATATGAATACAGCACTATATGTCCCATGGAGCAAAAGTGCACAATGACTTTATGGACACAGTGTATATGAATACAGCACTATATGTCCCATGGAGCAAAAGTGCACAATGACTTTATGCACACAGTGTATATGAATACAGCACCATATGTCCCATGGAGCAAAAGCTTAAAAGGGGCTTTTGCTTTACTTTCTCAAGGCAGATTTTGTTCAAAGCAGCAGGTTCCATGCAACGGTTGGCACATTTCTTTTCTATCAGTGTTGCCAGCTGGTAAAATACTTTCCTAATGTTGCTGCCAACAGGTAGATTTATTTTCTATTATTGTTGCCACAGCAGCGCCTTGTTGACTACTCATTGCACTTTCTGATTGCCACAGAACTTTTAATGAGAACCAGTTGTATTTGAGACATTCAATTTTTGTGTGTGGCCTTGGCGTCCAGGCTGACTCATCCTTAAATGAGTACCAGGTAGTGAAGTCATGATAACACTATGAAAGTCGTCCCCATGTGGGATGCTTTTTTTTTTTGTATTTGAAGCCCCACCCTGGTTTTTGCCGTGGGCCCTGAATATAGCCGGGGCATAAATATGGCCTAATGGCTGAAAGGGGTTTCTGGGACCTTTCCACGGGTGATCCTCATCCGCATGGTGGCACTTTGTGTCACCTGGTGTTTATCGCTTGTGTGATGTCATGGTGGGATACAACTACCTACCTACAGTCGTGGGAAGTAAAGGTGGCCAGCGTTGATCACATCACCCACCAAGTGTTGACTGGTTTATAAAATATATGTCCAGTACTATACATCCAATATAGCCAATGGGTTCTTTTACTTGAACAGTTTTGTGTCCTACAAAGGCTAGGCATTTGATATTATTTCCCAAAAGATTAGAGGTACATGTGATATTAGATACTAACAGCTTTTGTAAGAATTCCCAGCCTAATACTGGCTTTTAACCCAGACATTTTGGAGCTTAAGGCAGGCACTGTATCCTCTCAGCCTCACTTTCCTCAGTTAGGAACATACAGGCTAATAATTAACTACAAAAGATTATGGGAGATAATTAACTATGACACATTCATAAAGTATATATGTGAGATAATTAACTGTGACACATTCATAAAGTATATATGAGAGATAATTAACTATGACACGTTCATAAAGTATTTATGGGAGATAATTAACTATGACACGTTCACAAAGTATATATTGGAGATGATTAACTATGACACATTCATAAAGTATATATAGGAGATAATTAACTATGACACATTCATAAAGTATATATGGGTTATAATTAACTATGACACATAATTAACTATGACACATTCATAAAGTATATATATATGTGTTATCATCCATTTTCGTCCTTATTAGGACTAAATTTTTTGTCATTTGAAGCCCTACCCTGGCTTTTGCCAGGGGCCGCAATATAGGCAGGCCATACATATGGCCAAATGTCTGAACGCGGTTTCTGGGACCTCTCCACGGCGATCCTCATCCGCATGGTGGCACTTTGTGTCATCGGGTGTTTATCGCTTGTGTGATGTCCTGGTGGGGTAGAAAGTCAGTCAAAGTATATAAGGGAGATAATTAACTGTCACTTCACAAAGTATTAGGAACGTTGATTTGAAACCTGTTTGCGCTGCACTGTGTGTAACTGTGTGCGTTGAACGTGATTATGTCACAGCAAGGTGATACGTACTCTTCTTCTGCCTTTCAAACTCCCAATGGAGCACAGGCCCTCAACCAACTCACACTGAGTCGTTCTATCCTTTGCTACTGCATGCAGCTCTCCCCGTCTTCTTAACTTCACTCTCTAGCTCCCTTCATGTGTTTTTGTGTCTTCCTTTATTCCTATGCCCCTGTGGGTTCCAGTGCAAAGACATTCTAGTTATACTGTTCTCCTGTTTTCTCAACGTGTATCCTATCCAATGCCAGCATCTTTTCTTCACCTTTTGGTCCACAAAAACTTGTTTAGTTATCTCCTTAAGCTCTCTAGTGATTCTTTCATTCCATTTAATTCCCTCTTTTCTGCACTGGCATCAGTTAATGAATGTTTGTAGTTTATTGGTAATTGCCTTAGTTGTTCTCCATGTTTCAGCTCCATACAACAGTACTGATTTGGCATTAAAATTAAAAAACTGGTGATAAGTACTGCCCAGTGAATAAAACAGCAGGTAATTATCACCCCATGATACACTGATTCTGTTTCTGAGTGCTGAGAAAATAGTCAGGTTGATCCAAAAGCTGTCCAAGGAAAGCTCAAAGAGTGTTGATTCAGATTCTTTCATCTTAAAGAAGTATCAGTTGACATCTATCATAGAATGCGGGCAGCATACGGTAACAAATGTGTGTTGAAGACAACAGTGGCAGACTGGGCATTCATGTTTCGGAAAGGTAGTGAGTTGACGACAGATCTACCACTGCTGGGTCAAGTGCATACTGTTGCAGCAGAAGAAAAAAATGCCACCAAATGCTACACAACAATACAGATGAACCTTTGTCGAAGGATAGGTCGAAGAATTTAATGTGGTAATTGAGATGGTTTAAAAGGTTGTTTCTAAGAAACTGCAATACTAGAAGGTGTGTTCACAGGAGGGTAAGGAATGTGGTAAACACTTGGTTATTTGCTCAACCACATTTTTTTTTTGTGGACAGCCTTCGCAGCCTACCTACGCAATGGGATGCTTGTGTAAATGTGTATGGCAAATAAATTCACTTGAACAGGTTGCAAATGATCGCTGCATATACATATAGGGGAGTCGTTAGTTAGTTATGACATATTCATATTCTCTCTCCCTCCACGTGTCCCTTTTTTGTGTGCTCAGCAATCAAATAAACTGACTTACGTAAAAACTGGAAGAAGTTAAATAGCTGTCTGGTATATACAGTGCTAACAGTTGAAATGTAGCTAGGTAGACGTTAATTATGACATATTCATAAAGTACATCTCTCTCCCTCCACGTGTCCCTTTTTTGTGTGCTCAGCAATCAAATAAACTGACTTACGTGAAAACTGGAAGAAGTTAAATAGCTGTCTGGTATATACAGTGCTAACAGTTGAAATGTGGCTAGGTAAAACATGCCGACCATCAGCTTCTCCAGGCTGGTCCGGATGCTGCAATCAGAAAAGTTTCCACAAATGGTAGACATGTGGTTGTTAGTGATTTAGCTACCCAACATTCCAGGGTTTTATTTCTCAAAAGTGTTGTCCCCACAAGTCAAACTTTCAGGTGCTTCTTCTTTCGTTCTTAAAAGGAAGGTTGACAAATTTTGTTGTGGTTTACAGCAAGGCAGTGGTATCAGCACTTTTCAGCTGAAAACATTCAATTTCTGCAAAACTCTTAATTAACTGCCTTTTAAAACATGCTTCTTGGGGGCAGTGGTCTATCCATCCCACGAACAAATTATGGAATGCAAAGAAGAAAAGGATGAAGAAGAGGGAGAGGAAAAAAGAGGAGGAAGAATGTTGAATATTGAAATAAGAATCGACATCACGGCACTCAGGACACACTCATAAGCGCTTCGTCCCCATCTTCGGCAGCAAGCAAAGAGTTAAAATTCTGATGGTAGCAGTAAATGTCTGATTGTATATCTGTCACGCCTTTTCCCCGAATTGTCGAGTGTCAGCCAGATCCTCTTGTTTTCATGAGCCCAATATTGTTCTTGTATGCGTCAGGATATATATAGCACTGTAAATAGGAGGAAGAAGAAGAAGGCAAAGAAGAATGGGAGAAAATGTTTGGTAGTTTTTTTCTTGCTGTGGAAACTGATACAAGCTGTTGGAGACTGCAAGATATGGAGCAGTATGGTCACCTGTGCAGTCAGCAAGACACTTGATGATGATTATCCACCTCTTAGTTTCTCTTCCTCTCCCTCTCTTCAGCCAGCCTTCAGTGTGAAGATGGCACACATTGTGTGTGTGTGTCAATTTCCTCACTGAAATCTGAGACACCAGATAGCAAGAATTTCAAATACTGAATTAAGAATCGACATCACAGCACTGTTACTTCTTTCAATCAACAAAGTCTGTCTATTTCTCCAAGAAAAGTAAAGTAATTAAGAAGCGGTCTTGAGACATTCCCATATGCATTCCATCCTCATCTCCAGCAGCAAGCGCAGAGTTTGAATTCCTATGGCCCCAGTGACGTTCGGATTGTTAATAAACCTTGCCTTTCCCTTGAGTGCTGACCAATGGCCAGATCTCTGGCAACTCCTCGCAGCGCCATTCTCTGTGCTGAATTACAGTTAACATGAATTCTTTGTTAGGTCCCTTGGAGTTCATGTTAACAAGAATTCACCATATTACCTTTCATGCAACTAAACAATGTTCTTGTCACTTTAGAGAGAAATACAGTTTCCTCAAAACATGATTCCAGCACTTAGGTGAATCTGGCATACTGCTAGCGATATGTCTGTATGTGAAGAGATTCCTTATAGCAGTGTTGTTCAACTTTTGGCCCGGGAAGGACAAGAAAGTCACCCACAGATCACTGCTAGCTAATAGGGTTTCAACCCACCAAGAGACAAAAACATTAATACAATCTAGTATCCAAGAAAGATGGCTGGATACACACACTAGATTCTCTTCCCAAGACTCGCTTCATCGCCTCTCTAGAGAGGGACAATGTATTATATTCAGACTAAGGCCTGGGCACAACAGAATCCACCAATATTTGTTCAAATTTGTCGGCGTAGGAAACACAGAGATGTGTCCATGCAGTGTGGTACCTGAAAATGCTGAGTGTGTGCTCCAAACCTGTCAACTGTATGCTAACAACAGAGACACAATCTGGCCTGTTCCAACCAGAATGAAGACAAAACTGTATGGTACACGAGAGAATTTGGACTGCATAATAGCTTTCATAAAGGCTGCTGGCTCTTGATATAAGTTTTTTGACAGAAGGATCGAAGAAGAAAAAGACTGCTAGCTGTACTGTATTACCGATGCTAGCTGTACTGTGTGACCGATGCTAGCTGTACTGTGTGACTGATGCTAGCTGTACTGTGTGACTGATGCTAGCTGTACTGTGTGACCGATGCTAGCTGTACTGTGTGACCGATGCTAGCTGTACTGTGTGACTGATGCTAGCTGTACTGTGTGACTGATGCTAGCTGTACTGTGTGACCGATGCTAGCTGTACTGTGTGACCGATGCTAGCTGTACTGTGTGACCGATGCTAGCTGTACTGTGTGACTGATGCTAGCTGTACTGTGTGACCGATGCTAGCTGTACTGTGTGACTGATGCTAGCTGTACTGTGTGACCGATGCTAGCTGTACTGTGTGACCGATGCTAGCTGTACTGTGTGACCGATGCTAGCTGTACTGTGTGACCGATGCTAGCTGTACTCTGTGACCGATGCTAGCTGTACTGTGTGACCGATGCTAGCTGTACTGTGTGACCGATGCTAGCTGTACTGTGTGACCGATGCTAGCTGTACTGTGTGACCGATGCTAGCTGTACTGTGTGACCGATGCTAGCTGTACTGTGTGACCGATGCTAGCTGTACTGTATGACTGATGCTAGCTGTACTGTGTGACCGATGCTAGCTGTACTGTGTGACCGATGCTAGCTGTACTGTGTGACCGATGCTAGCTGTACTGTGTGACTGATGCTAGCTGTACTGTGTGACCGATGCTAGCTGTACTGTGTGACCGATGCTAGCTGTGTAATGTGTGACCGATGCTAGCTGTACTCTGTGACCGATGCTAGCTGTACTGTGTGACCGATGCTAGCTGTGTAATGTGTGACCGATGCTAGCTGTACTGTGTGACTGATGCTAGCTGTACTGTGTGACTGATGCTAGCTGTACTGTGTGACTGATGCTAGCTGTACTGTGTGACCGATGCTAGCTGTACTGTTTTACCAATGCTAGATGTACTGTTTTACCGATGCTAGCTGTACTGTATTACCGATGCTAGTCTGTGAGGATCCCCATTTTTTCAAATTGTGGCCCCTGAGCAAACTTAGTTGAACAGCCCTGTCATAAAGGATAACAACAAAATTCAGGTAACGCTGACATACCTATCGGAGGCTCCACTAATCTTCCTGTCAGCATATTCTCCATTCACATAATTCAAGTATCTTTTCAGAGAAAACTGAAATCATACAAAAGGGAATATATTAAATTGTGTTACAAATATTACAGAATGAAGGCTACTGAAAAAAACTCACATATATCCCAAAAAAAAAAAAAGAACAATGGGAATTACATTTGACTGGAGGTGTGGGGGAGGAGAGGTGCATATACACACACAACCACACACACACACAACCACACACACAAACAATCACACACAGAATCACTTTTAGCAAATGTAAAACACAAAACTGCAATGACAAAGTAAACTCACAACAACAACACTAAACTGCATACGTGCATGCGCTCACACATACAAACACACAGCTACACTAAAAGACATCCAGAACTGCACTTTAACTCTTTGAGTCCCATGGGGTTTAGCATCACAGGCCCAGGGGGGTAGTAAAGAAAGTAATAAAATCAGCGCATCATGCGTTCATTGGGCTTCGAGGTAGGAACCTATGAACGTATGATGCGTTCCTTGGGACTCAAAGACAAAACAAAACTGCTAGAAGATGTGTTAAAAACTGCACTTTCAGACTGAAAGAACACAGAAAGGCACTAAACACACATAACTGTATTTAAAGCTGTATTAAAAAACAAAGGAGCTGCAGTGGGAACAAAATTATGCTAAAGGAAAAGAGGAGGGAAAACATGCACTGAAAATGTATACAGAAATTGCCTAAGCAACATTGGCTCTGTTCACATTATAGTTGTAGCCAATTTACACAAAAAGCCCTACTGTGATCTATGCCAGGTGTTCATAATCTGTTGTCTTAATCCATACAAACCACTGCATACATCTGACTTTGGCTGAAGCAACACTTTCTCAATATCTGCAAAAGCTGGACTCTCTTAAGGGGTGATTTGTGAAGTCGTTTTCACAAGATTATGTTTCACATTCTAAAATCCCCTGTGTGGGTTCCGGGGCCCCATTGTGGGGAAGACAAGAAGAGACCCACTGACTCCTCAAGAAGCATGTCATAAGAGTCGACTAACTGACAGATTCCTTTGAAGTCGGAGTGCATCTGCCTGAGAGGCAAGGAACCAGCAATCTGCATACAAATAAGAGAGATCTGTAAAACAGATGTACTCGCAAAACTCAGGTCCTGGAACAAAGCCAAAGTCCAGAAATGGCTAAACAACCAGGTCTTTCCACCGGAGTTTACAGCTGGTGAGCGCAAACAACAACAACATTCTTAAAAAAAGTGTCACTATATTTAGTCTACAGACTGCTTACTGGACACAACAGACGCTGTAGCCATTTGTATAAGAAATTCAAAATTGAGGAATCAGAACTTTTCCCATGAGGACAGGCACCACAGATTGCTGAACATGTGCTACAGACATGCTCTCTACACGTAGAAGAGAGAGAAGAGATCCTGGTTAACAGCCCAGGTTTGGATGGTTGGCATTCCAAATAGAAATCAAGAGTTGTGGAACAGTGGATGACTTTGTGTTGCACCATGGACTTCATAGAGGGCTGTGTCTTTCTCATCTGAAAACCACAGACTGGCAAGGAGAATGAAAAGAAGAAGAAAAATCATAACTGTTCTTCTTCTTCTTCTGGGAATCTCTGTGTCTACGTGGTAAACCCAGAGGACTCATGCTCTGGTAAGGTTGTGGGCTCATTTAAGGACTGGAGCATTTGGTTCACTTCTTCTTTAGAGGCTCCAGTTAAATAGCCTGGGTCTAGTGTGTCCTGTCTTTGTATTTCTTTCTGTTAGTGCCAATCACTACACGCTGATTTGTTTATTAAGCTGTTTCTATGGCTTTAAAGGATCCCTACCTGCTTACCTCAGTCAACAAAGAAATAGGAACACAATTCAGCGCACTCACCTGTGGTCCTACCAGGACACCACCAAAGAAAAATGAGTGACCAAGCATCTCGATATAGCCAGGTTTTTCTGACAACAGTACATCTTTGTCTGCCGTCTTCCTTTTGCTCTGCAGAATATAAAACTAGTAAACTTACATAAATTCAAACATAATCTTTCACATCTGTGTTCCAGGGCCACATTTTGGGGGTGGAGGAATAGACCAATAGTCCCTCCAAACAAGCATGTCATAAGTATTTGCTGAAATCAGATGAGCTGAGCTGAAAAATGCAGATATCAAGTTAGTTGCGTATCCTTCACAGGAAGTTGCAGAACCAACCCCAGCATTTGTTGGCTGTGGTGGTTTTTCTAGGCAAATTTTACGTTCAATAGTTTGCCATTGCTTTCTGAACGGTCAGCTCTCGATAACACTGTCGAAACAACTAAGCTACAGACGATGCAGATATCAAAGCCTTGCTGTAAACCACAACACAAAATGTCAACTGCCCTTTAAAGGGTGAACACAAGAAACTATGGAGGATCCTTTGTGTCAGAAATGACTGCTATAGCATCTTGGTATGAAAACTCATCCACATCTCCTTACCGGGATATGACGGTGTGTTGGGAAACGAACAGCTGGACAGACTGGCTGGCTCTGCACAACTTGGTGGAATACTGATACATGATAAGGCAAATGTGGTTAGTGCCTTGTGGGAGAGCGTGTACAGTTTGGAGGAGCAGATAGATCACCACAGTCTGGTGAGATTGGTGCAGCGGGGAGTGACGAGAGGTTCTGGCAGATGCTCGAGGCTCAGAGGAAAGTCAAGACGGACGTTTAATCAGAATGCTACTAGCACCATTAGTATCGGAACTCTTTGCTGGCTGCTGAAGATGGGGACGGAGCGCTTGTGGGAATGCCCTGAGTGCTGTGATGTCGATTCTTGAATCAAATCAAATCATTCTCCTTCTTCTTTTGTCATGTCACTGTTACCAGGTTGAAGTCCAGTGCCCTGGTTTTCTGTACTTGTCTATGGCTTCTCCGGTGGCTTGGGTGATGGATAAGTTCGACTTTTTGCAGGTTTCATCAACACCATTTATCCATCTCTTTCTCGGTTTTCCTCTCTCCTTCCTCCCAGATGTTCTACTGTAAAAAGTCTCATATGCAGTTTGGTCTGGCTGCATTCTCACCAGATGGCCGAACCATTTCATTGTTTGTCTGTCAATATAATCTAGACATGGTCTTATTTTAACTTTCTCTCTAATGCTGGTATTCGTAACCTGTCTCGTATAGTGGTGTTAGTGACCTTGTGGAGACAGCGCATTTCACATGTAGTTTTTTTCTGTATCATTCATTATGTCTTTAAAAAATGTGTATGATATGACAACAGAAAACAACCCCAAGTTTTGTTGGCTGTCTGTGGCAATTTACGTTTAGTAGTTTGCCACTGTTTTCTTAATGTTTGGCTCTCAATGCCTTTGTCAAAAATCAATGCAAAGTGGTCTGCTGCCGCAATGCCTACAGCTGGAATCGAATCGGGTATCTCGAAGTTAAAAACCTTTATCGCAACCCCTCAGCCACATATGCCTACATTGTGTCCTTTACGGATTATAATGATCCATGTAATCTGCATCCACTTCTATGACCATTAGCCAATGTGAAACAAGGGCAGACAGGTTTTGCCTATATCCAGAGTTTTAACCTGTGTAATTGGTCATTTTGTCACAGCATGAATAACATCCTCAGGCCAGTCTCTCCACTTTCTGAAGCTTTAACTCTCTGAACACAGTGACCAACATTGCTCCTATGGACTGCACAACTTCCATATATAGCACACTAATACTTATCAATGTTCACCACAGCTGCTCGTAACAGTACATTGTCTTCACATGTCATTTTAACGGATTAGTGCAGCTAATCTTTTCTTTCGAAATGTGGTGCCATTTCATAAACACAACAGGCTTTTCAAGCCCAAAATGCACATAATTTCACTTTCCTATCATTTTTTTTTTGCTGAAAAAAAAAAAAAATTAGGGCATTATTTCCCAAATGCCACTTGTAAAAAAGATGAATCATAAATAAACCTAGAAACACTTTCAAAGGCCAAAGATACTTACATCATAGTAGTCAAAGGCAACCCCAGACAGCCGAAGGGTAAGTACACAGTGTGGCATAGTCCATGAGATCCCAAAGTCTTGGAAAGGTACTTGAGTGTAGTAACCTATTACCAGGTAACACTGCAACAGACCAAATTAAATTTTCAAAATAATGCAGAAAGATTAGTCAGCCATACAGGCAGGCTGGCATACAGAATATTTTCATCAAAAAAGTGCTGAATTTTGATTATGAACTTTCTTGGAGAGGGACTTGAATGTAGTAACATTACCTGGTAACATTGCAACAGACTAATTTAAATTTTAAAAACATAATACAGAAAGACTAGTTAGCCATAGAAGCACGTAGGTAAACGTACTTTCATCAAGAAAGTGCTGAATTTTACTTATAAACTTTCTTGGAGAGGTACCTGAGTGTAGTAACCTATTTCCAGATAACACTGCGACAGACCAAATTAAATTTTAAAACCGTAATGCAGAAAGATTATTCAGCCATACAGGTAAAGGTAGGCAGGCACAGAGAGTATTATTTTCATCAAGAAAGTGCTGAACTTTAGCAAGGTGATGAAATAAGTAACCATGGAAATGAGGTTTCTGAGAAAGATTGTAGAGTGAGCAGAAGAAATAAAATAGGAATGAGGTCATTTGAGATCAAGTCGGCACAGAAATGATTCTAAATTACATACAAAGACAGCAAATCAAATGGTCTGCCCACCAGGAGAGAATGCCTTCTGTCGCTACACAACACAAGGCATATACCGCTTATACCAAAAGAGGAGAGGGACGTAGAGCAAGAGGTAGACCAAGAACATTATGGGAAGATAACATCAGAGAAATTCTACAGCACCATAATGTGTATGGTCGAAGCAGCCAGAAGAGCACAAAGCAGGACCTTATATCTCCCTCAACTCGAAGCAGTAAAAGAGGACGTGAAGAAGAAGAAGAAGAAGAAGAAGAAGAAGAAGAAGAAGAAGAAGAAGAAGAAGAAGAAGAAGAAGAAGAAGAAGAAGAAGAAGAAGATGAACTTTCCACACCAGAATTCTTTAACCGGTATGCCGCAGCCCACTGGTAGGCCATGGAAAAGTCCGGGTGGGCCGCCAACAATTTCTGTCTAGTCATGTAACGGGGTAAGGCAGGTAGTTTTTCTATTCCACAATTGCTGTCCGTGGGATTTAACAACTCAAGGATGAGAATCAAACAGGTACAACAAATCCTAGAAACCCTCTTCAGCTGCTCAAAACAAGAATGAAATGGCGCCCGACAGTTGTGTAACCTGTAGTTCAAGTCTGGGCTGGGAATAAGAACAATAACGCATGTGGCAGCTTAATGATTTCTGCAAAGCGAGTGTGGCGTCATACACTTTATCTTATTAGATATCAGGTTTTTGTGGACCGCGAGTGTAAAAATGTCGAGGAACACTGTCCTCACTACTTTCTTAGGAGTTACAACATGGGAACTCCGAGTTAAATGAATGTTAAAAAAAAAAGATAAGATGTTTTGTGTTCGTCTGAACTGAAAATTTTCTGTCCAGGATACTCAGGTGTGTGGAGTAATGAGCAAGCTGACAGATTGGCTACTGCTATTCCCAGATTGGCTACTGCCACTCCTCTGGGTGGTGAGCTGCTTTATGCAAAGGTGGACATGGAGGTTCTGGAAGATATACAACTTTAAGGGGGAAATAGAGGCGAACTTATAATCAGGCTGCAACTGATCCTATTATCACATCAACACTTTGTTGCCTACTGAGGAAGGAGACGGAGTATGTATGGGAATGTCCCGAGTGCAGGTATGTCAGTTCTTTATTCATTCATACACTGAAGATGTGAAGATGTCAGGCAATATGAAAAGAATATTTACATTGAAGCCCTGATTGACAGATAGTAAAGATTTAGCTATATAACTGCATAAGAGACTATTGTCAGCTCAGCCAGAGATGGATGGATGGATGAACAGACAGATGGATAGATTAGACAGGTAGGTAGATCAGCCCTGCCTGCCAATCAGACCATTTGTTAACTGAATGCTGTAATTGTTAATCAAGTGTCAAAACTGTTTTTAGCTGAATACTGTAATTGTTGTTAATTTAATGCTGCAATGTAATTTTACCCATATGTTTTTATAATAATTTTGACAGCAGGTGATAGCAGAGAAATAAGTGTATAATAACACAAGACATTATTGCCAGCTAGGTCAGGCTAACAGATGGATGGATAGCTAGATGGGTACGTTCTAGAATTCAAAAACCTAGCACTTAAGGATCATGAAATTATTAAAAGCCTCATTACCCTCTAACCCTCAGAGCCTCCTTTTACTCACAACATATTCAATCATACCAAACCAAGCAACTCAGCAAATTCTTCCTCGCCACTCCTTGCATGGTACATCATTTTTAATGCACTGTTCGCCATTCTTGGGGGCTGGGGGGGGGGGGGGGATGCAGGAGGCAAACCGGCTGCCCCTTGACAAGCATCTTGTAAAGTGCGATTAACTAAGTTGGCTGAAATGGGATTTAGTTCGATGTTAGTCTTCCCAAACAAAGTAGGTCACATTCCATTGATAAGTTTTGTGGAGTGGTTCACTTTCATGGAAGTCACGGGTGTGTCCCGCTCTCTTCTTTGGTTTCCTTGATGTCTAGCGTTAAGATTTTCATTTTGAGAAAGAGAATGCCTGTCACATAGGTTTCAGCACTCTCTAGGGGGTTGTGTTAGAACCAGTGTGTCCATGTTTTTGGAGTGTTAAAAGCGTTGCCGTGTTGAAATATAGAAGATGTGATATCAAAGGTATTGCGGAAAATCCCAGTCACTTTGAGGCAAGGTAGGGTGGCTCAAGGTTGACCAATCAGAAGTGAGCTAGTGTGTAAGAGTGAGTAAATGGGGAGACAAACACCAAATTAACCGAAATGGGATATGTTGGGCCGAATGGCAGAGATATCGCATTCTAGCATACTTTGTGCCAAACACACTTTTAAGGATAAGTGAAGATAAAGAATCAAAGAGAAATTATGGAGGATGGCTTAAGACAGTGGCATTGAGGAATATCAGTGGAATTGTCCCAGAACACCAAAGACCGAGATCTGTGGAGATGTGCGAACGGCTCCACCAGCTGGCAAGGTAGGTTATCATAATGATGATAAAGAACTTGTTCGACATACATCTGTTACGCTAATCCACTCAAAGCCAATTTTTACTTCAACACCCTCAGCTCAGTAATGTAATCAGATGGTTACTTGCACCAATGGAACTGGAACTCTTCACTGGCTGCTGAAGATGAGGAAGGTGCACTTACAGGAATGTCCCAAGGCTAAATACATAATAGAAATTCTGACTGGATACCTCATGCAGGCAAGCCCACAATAAATTATGTTTGTGAGCTAGCCACAACAGGAAGTCATTATAAAAGTCATTAAAATGTTTTTATGAGATGACACCGCCAAGCCTGAGAGGAGATGGCCTATAATAATATCATAACAAGGGTTAACAGTGGCAGTCGGTGTGAGTTTTGGCGTGAGTGTATGTGACATTGGATATCACAGATGGAAGATCAGATCACTTGTGAGCGCCTTATGTGTCAACAGTGACGCAAAGAGAATATTCGTTCACTCATTTCCTGTTGTGCCATTATATGTCACATAAGGCTTGCAGTCTATCCCTCCATTCTGTTATATTCTGTGCGATCACTTAGATATATCAAGGGCAGAATCGAGTAACTTTAAACACAAACAATCACCTGATTCGATGACAGCCCGTCCAGTAACCACAAATACAGCAAATTAGGGGCAGAGAGCAGCAATGCTTTCTAACCCTAGTGCTCTCTGACCCTATGTCTGATACATCACCGGGGACCATATGTCTGATACATCACCAGGGACCATATGTCTGATACATCACCAGGGACCATATGTCTGATACATCACTAGGAACCATATGTCTGATACATCAATAGGAACCATATGTCTGATACATCACCGGGGACCATATGTCTGATACATCACCGGGGACCATATGTCTGATACATCACCGGGGACCATATGTCTGATACATCACCGGGGACCATATGTCTGATACATCACCGGGGACCATATGTCTGATACATCCCTGGGGACCTTATGTCTGATAAATACATCATTGGGAACCATATGTCTGACATATCATTGAGACCCACAAGATTGATGTATCACTGGGAAGCATATGCCAGATGTATCATTGGGAACTATAGGCTTGATGTATCATTGGGAACCATATGCCTGATACATCACTGAGAACCATACATCTGAGATCACTGACAGAAAAAGGTTGCTTTACCACGTATTATTTTTCAACTGTCAGCCTCTGACAACCATTTCATTAACTCTTTCTCTCCCAGATAACTGTTACATTATCTCCTTCTCTCCTAGACAACTATTGTTACTCTTTCTCTTTCAGATAACTGTTACATTAACTCTTTCTCTCTCAGATAACTGTTACAATAACTTTTTCATACAGAAGAGACATATGTGTAATGTAATGCTCCTCGTAAATCATGCTCTCTGCCCCTAGTGCTCTCTGCCCCTAGTGCTCTCTGCCCCTAGCTGAAAGTGGTCACGGCTAACTTTGTATTGTATTGTAACTAAAAAAAGCATTAATGTGGGCCTTCCTTTGAGCCAAATAGCCAACAAGGAGATCGGGATATAACTAAACTTAAGATGTCAAAGTATACAAAACATGCTGACTGGGGCATATGAGTAATATCCTCTAATAATGGTTTTCATGACCAAAAAGACTTTACATTTAAATAAAAAACATAATTGTAAACTCATGTGCACCAGTCAACATGTAGACTTGTATATCTTAATTTTACCAGATTGCTGTACCCCTTCTATCGGTTATTTTCTAATCTGCCGCTAAACTGCTGTACCTAATTTTCGGTACTTTGCGTACTACGTGATGAAGCGCGTCACAATCTAAAAATAACCAAACAATCGTGATCAAACCTCGTGGTTTGTCATTGCCAATGGCTGCCCACATATGTTTAGATTTACTTTGTGTGGTTTAAATTGAAAAAATTCTGAAAAATTCACAATGAAACGATCGGCTGATGAACCAAGCATTTCGACAGGAAAGTGAAGTAGGTCTAGGTTTTTCACA